TTTGACATTTCACAATAAGCTTGTATCACTCTTGTAGTCAGAAGAAGGAAAAATTTTTTTAAAGATTCATATGTTTTTAAATGTTACATTGTTTATAAAACAAAGAAAAACATAGTGATTGGGGTTGATCCCCTCCACCCTCTAAACACAGGGTTCCTTTATCTACGAAATTGGAAGGAGGATGGGAAGGGTTCAAGCGATTCCGTGCGATTCCGTGCGTGTTGTTGTTCTTCCCATAGTGGATCAGCCCAGCCCAGACTGTTTGAATAAAGGGTTTCAAATAACGCAGCCCCAAGGGGTCTCTAGGGTTCTGTCTGTGAGTCAAGGAGGAAATAAGGAGGAGGGGGGCGAGGGAAGGGGTCAACGGATTCTGAAGGGTGCAGCGCCTTTGGAAGGATTTGGAGGTTGCAGACCTCCAAATGTGACAGCCCTCTCCAGTATCACCTGTCCCCTCCCTGCCCCTTCTCATAACCGAGGACAGAATTGGCTCCGAGGTGCAGGCTTTCACAGAAACAAGTCTTGCGGAACAAGCTCTGCTCCTTGGAGATCTATAATTGATAAGGGCGCCAGGCCAGAACCTTGGGCTGGGCTAGCCAAGTGCGGGGGCAGCCGGAGGACTTGGCAGAAGGTAGAAAATAGGACCGGCTTTGGACCTCACATTTCCACCAGGAACCAGGGTCTTCCAAGAACGATGTTCCAAACCCAGGCCCACGTTGGGAACCTGCCCCCTGGACCATTCCTGAGTTTGGTCCAAGAACACCCTGGAAAAATCCCGGGAGGGTGGAGGAGGCTTGCTAAACATGCAGATTCCTAGGCCCTATCTGAGTTAAGATCAGAGACCAGGGGGCCTGGAAATGGCCACTCTGAACCAGCTCCACGCTAGCCCTTAACAGCGAGGTTTGAATCTCAGCTCCATCACTTACCAGCTGTGCAAGTTGCTTAACTTGTCCACACAGCAACAATAAGCAGGCACAATTATTATATAATTGATAAATGTTTGCTGAATGAATGACAAATGGGGAATGTGTGAGAGCACACACCCAGAGGCACACAGCTGGCCCAAAGTCTCAAAGCAGTTAGAAGGGTGGCCTGGGGACCAGAACCTCAAACTCTCTGGCTCCCGGTCAAGTGCTCTCTCCACTCCATGTTCCAGGAGCTGTAAAAAAGCCTGGTCTTTCTCCAGGTCAGTGGCCTGGGTCCCAACCTTCTTACCTCTCCTTCGTCAAGGTACCAAGGCCCCAGAAGGGGCTTGTGGGTAGAAGGTAGAGCTGGACAGCTCAGCAGTAGCAGCTGTGAGCACCAGTGAACCGGCAGACATGGGGCGCTGGTAGGCTCCAGGGACTCCAGCCCAGCTCAGCCCAGCCCAGGGCTGAGGCCCTGTTCCCAGGACACACCCTGCCCCCTTTGCTACCTTAGTCTCACCAACATGTTCCCATCATCCAATTCCCTGTGCCTCACTTGGGCAGACAGGGTCACCACCCTGTTGACACGGAGGACCCTGAAGTCCAGAGAGGGACAATGACTTCTATAAAGTCACACAACACATCAGTGGCACAGACGGGGCGTGAGAGGCAGGTTGGTGTAGTGGAAAGACTGCTGGGAGTCAGGAGATCTGGGCTCTGGTCTTACTCTGGGACTGACTTGCTGTGTGACCCTGAGCCAGTTGTTTAACCTCTCTGTGCCTCAGTTTCTCCTCTATCTCATAAAATAAGAGATTTGGATTCTGACATTAAGGCCCATCTGACTTCAAAGCTGGTGATCCTCTCCCTATCCTGACCAAAGAGAACCCCAGCTTTGCAAGACTACAGCTTTTCCTGAGCCCTTCCAAGCCAAGCCCTGTGCAAGGCATTTCCCAGCTACACCTTTACCAAATCCTCTCCCCAGCCCTGAAGGGCAGGTACAACTGGCTCTCATGTTACCGGAGGGGAAAGGGAGGCTCAGGGAGGCCAAGCGGCTTGCCAGAAGTCACACAGCATATTAGGGCACAGTTTCTCAGGGCTCCTAGCTTGGCTTGGCTCAGCCCCACCTAGCTGGGGGCTGAGGGAGGCTCTGTGTTGGGTCTGTGTTGGGTCAGACTCTTCAGAGTTCAAGTTCAAGCGGGAGTCTTCTAACGAACAGAAAGAAGAATGTGATTTGAGGGTGCCCTTCCAAATACCTAACACGGGCCCTCTGTCAGCAGGGCCAAAGAACTAAGGGGCGCAGGAACAGGATTAGACCCAAGCCCCAGGCAAGCGAGGGGCTAGGTTTCCACCCACAGCCCACACCTTGCTACTGGGGCCAGGAAGACAATCCTGTGAGATGATGGGGAATTTCCTTTTCTCCATTTTAAGATAAGGAACTAGAGGCTCACAGAGGGAATGTGATTTCTCCAAGGTCACACAGCTAAGAACGGTCCAGGAGTCAAACCCAGGGCTGGCCAGCTCCAAAGGCTGAGCTCTGACCTGTGTGCAGACGTCACCCCACAAGGCTGACTGATGGGTGGACCTGAATGAGTCCCGCCATTGGTGCGTTTGTCCCTGCCGCCCAGGACCCACCTGGTATTTGATGCCAGACTTGAAGTAGCCGAGGAAGGTGGCTGACTCGAAGCCCTGGACCTCGCGGTGCTGCACAGCCCGACCATTCAGGTAGTCATCCAGCTGCACGGTGAAGATGGCGGCCGCCCCACTCTCGTCCTGGCTACACTCATTGCCTGGGTGACATTAGAGCAGCATAAGCCTGGCTTCCGGAGAGTACTCCCAGCCTCCCGTGGAGGACTCTGGAGCCCGCAGCACTGAGCAGGCCTGACTGTTCAAACTGGGCAAGCCCCTCAGTCAATCCATCTACATGATGGGGGAGATGGGGGCTGGACTCCATGGTGTCTAAGTCATCTCAGCTCTGACATGTTCCCCTACCCTCGCCTCTCCTACTCATTCCCCTGCACTCACTCTCAGCCCTCCTGAGCACGATGTCAAGCCTGGGAGCATTGGCTCAATTCACAGATTAGGAGACTGAGGCCCCGTGAGGGAGACAGGACTTACAGAGTCACACTGCAGAGCTGTGGCAGGGACTCCAGGCTCCTGACTCTGAAGGTAAACTGAGGCATGGCTGAAGATGGGTAAGGGAAGCTGTGGAGCAGGTCCAGGATCCCCAAGTCACCCCCGATTCTGAGTGCTACACTAACTTGTTTAACCCTCACAATACCCCTTTGAGGTACAGTGGCACTACTACCATCATGTCCACTTTACAGAGGCGCTAAGTGACTTGCCAAAGGGCAGGGCAGGGGTCTGAACTTGGGCAGGCTGGCTCTAGAGTTTGGGGACACATAACCACTAGCCAAGGGCCTGGTACATACTTGATGCTCAGAAGTCACTTAGCTCCCATTCCCTCCTCCCCCGCCCCCCCCCACCATGCCTCAAGGGTCTGTGCTTTATGGGGGTGGGGTTTGGGGTGGGGGGGGCCAGCCTCACCCAGCCAGTAGTGGAGGTCATACTGCAGGTTCCCATTCCTCAGCTGCACTGTCTTCAGGATGACATAGGCGTCACCTGTGTAGAAGTTTCCGTAAAGGTTGGGGGGCACAGGTACCAGGTCGAACTTCTCGATGCGCCAGATCTGCAGACCAGCCTCCTTTCCTGCCTTGAGGAACTCAGGGTGTTCCACAACCATGCTGCCGGGCTGGAAGAGACAGGGTGGGGCCTGAGCAGGGGCAGGGGCCCTGGCGGGGAGAGACCCCGGGCATGAGGGAGGGCGGTTTCCAGCACCAAGAGCACCCCACTTGAGCCTCTCACTCTCCCAACCCCCCGAGGCAAGTCTAATCCCTTCTACAAACCCTGTCTTGATGAGCGAGCAAACAGGGGGGAGAGTTTAGGCTCCAAACCCTGTCCTTGGCCAGAGCCTCTCTCTCCTAATCAGTTCTCCTAATCAGTGATGGGGGGACAAAGGGCTTGACCTCCCTTCTCCTTCCCTCCTTAGTGCCAATTATATGGGACAGCTGAGGCACGGAGAGGCAAAGTGACTCTGCCAAGGACCCCCAGCTAGAAAATGGCATAGCAGGGATTGCCCCAAGCTCCAAGAGCATGAGTTCTGGGGCCATGGAGAGAGCCCCTCAGATGGCAGTGGTAAACCTGGGGGTCCCCAGGAGCTCAGCGTGTTCCCTTCCAGCATTCTCAGTGGCTCTGAGAACTAGAAGGGTCTTCGGAGAGCTCATCATCCAACCCATTCTGCAGATAGGGAAACTGAGGCCCAAAGCGGGGAGGGGACTTGGCCCAAGGTCACACAGCCTGTTTGCTTTTGCTCTTTGGAAACGGGAAGCTCTCCCATGACCATCCACGTCCCTATCACACCCCCAAGAAGGACCTAAATGATTTAGCCCAAGGGGCCTCCTGCGCTGTCTGCCTCCTCCCTCCTGCCCCCCAACACCCCACCCCCAAATTCCATTTCTTAGAAAAGGCAGAGAGGATGCAGCCAGGGTCTGCAGGAGCCTGTTGGAGATGAGGTGGTCAGGAACGGGGGAAAGGCCATCAGACATGCACGGGGCTAGGGATGGAGCAGAGTGAGACGGTCAGCCTGAGGCCAAAGGGCAGGAAGCAAAATGCACAGGTCACCTGGCCGGAGGGCAGAGGGGTGTTGAAACACAAAAGGGAAACAGGAGAGAAGCGGAGAAACCAGGCAGGGCAGAGCAGCTGTCACAGAGCGGAGAATAAATAATAGTAATGACAACACGCAAGCAGAGGTGACATCACACAAAACAGAGAGAGAAAATATTGGCGAGGGAAAGAGCTATCAGATGAGAAAGAAGAATCTGAAATGGAAGAAGTAAGGAGGGAAGAAGATAAATCAGGTGGCGGGAAGGAGAAATTAGACGAGGAGCAGGAGAAATCAGGCGGCAGGGATGGATAAGAAACCAAAAGGCAGCGAGGGAAAAGAAATCCGGCCAAGGTGAGGTTAGCCTCTAGGGAGGGTAACAGCCAGGTCCCCGAGGCTCCCACCCCCATCAGCAGGAGCCCCGGAAGCAGCAAGACATACTTACAAAGCAACAAAACAGTTTTTCCATTCTAGACCTGAATTACTCCCCTTTTCCTAGCGCTGTATCTGCAAGAACTTACAATAGAGAGTTACTCTGAGAGCCCCGGTCCCCCTGGGCACTCACCCGCGCCTCGGACACCCGCCCCTGGGGCGCGGGTGCCTGGGCCGCCCCCCGCGACGCGGTGGCCGCTCGGGCCGGCGGCGACAGCACGCACAGCGCCAGGATCAGCGCGCCGAGCAGGGCGGGCGCAGAGCGGTGCGCAGCCATGGCGACGATGGCAGCAGAAGACCCAGTCAGCGGCCGCCGCCTTTGGGTCGCTTGCTCACTTTAAGTAGCCGCACGCCCATCCCATCCAAGCCGGGACCGCCCTGCAGGGAGGGCGCGGGGCAGGGTTGGGCCCCCGTGGGGCCCGGGAGGGGCGGGGATCTGGCCTGGATTTTGGAGACATCGGGGTTCCCATCAGACCGAACCGACTGGGCGCGGCCACCCCTTCACCCCAGCTCCAGGGCAGAGACCAAGCACAGGGCCTGGCATACAGCAGGCGCTAACTCTGGACACTTAAGTGGGAGAATTCACGAATGGCAGGGCGCCCAGCTCAGCCTCCTGGGAGACCTGCGCAAGACCCCTCCCCACGCCGCACCTAACAGCTCCAGGATTTATTGCAGGCTCACCACACCTCATTTGAAGGTTGACACATCATGACATCCTTTACAGAGTGGGTAAATCGGCAGGCCCATTTTACAGAGGGGGAAAACTGCCAAGAATAGCCAAGCAACCTGCACACCACCAGGAAAGGGTGCAGCCAAGATTTGCACCCAGGTAGTCTGGGTGGCCCAACTCCCACTAGCTAGGGACAGACCAGATCCCAGAGCAAACAGAAGTTAGGGAGGGGCCGGCAAACCTCTCCACTCCTGCGACTGCAGGTTCTACTTGACTCAAGACAGCCCTTCTTACCTTATTTTTAAAAAACTTATTTTTTATCAAAGCTTAAAGTCACATATTTGCACAGAGTTGTTCCCTCTCAACCCCCACTTGCTTCTCCCCAGGGGCAACCACTTCTATCGACCCCCCTTTTGCTGCTGATTCCAGGGTTTACCTTCATGTCTTAAATAACAAGTCCTGTTGCTTCTTGTAGCTGTTGTTTTTGTTTTGGGTTTGGGCGTTTTGTTTTGTTTTTCAGTTCTGGGTGCTATCTACTGCCCCCCCCCCCCAAGACAAGGTTTTCCGTCTTTTCCCCCCTCCCAGGCCCCTTCCCATTCCTCCACCCTCCCACGCTTGAGGCATAGTCACTGGGTTAGGAGAAGGACGCCTCAGACATCCCGGTGCCACCAATCCCTCTCTCCTCCCTCCCACCACCCTGCAGGACCCAACTCATCTATTTCCAAGTTCTCTTTGCATCCCAGACCTCCCACTCTCCCAACAGCCTGGTGGGACATCAGGAAAGAGAAATGGGGAGTTGGAGACCTGTCTCTGACTCCCACCACCACTGTGTGCAAGTTCCTTTCCTTTTCTGTGCCTGTCTCCTCATCTCATCTACTCAATGGGTATAGTAGTTGCTGCGGACTGAATCGGTCTGTGTGTGTATGAAAACGGCCTGGCCAGCAATCAGGTAAATGAGAACTCCTGTCCCCTTTCCACACAGCTATGGTCCCCTGCTCCAGCCCCTCCTGGAGCCCCAGTTTCTATCTAATCAGTCTCAAGTTGGCCCTCCACCCTCCACAACTTCCTTCTACTTAATGGGGCCTGTGAGACAGATAAAGGGCTAAGGGAACACACACAGATGATTCAGGGTGTAAGGATTATAAGAAGACTTCGTGGAGAAAGGAACTTGTGACCAGGGCGTTGAAGACAAGGAAGAGGGAAATTAAGAAGAAAAGGCATTTTCAGGGAGGGAACAGCATGTACGAAGGGCAAGGAAACAAACAACAAGCAGCGAATAATGAGGGGTCCAGCCTGAAACACAGGGGAAAAGGAGATGAGGCTGGAGAGGGCGGCAGGAGTCACAGGGCCCGGGTGCGACACTAAAGAGTCTGAACTTTACACCGGTGTCTGTGGGGAGCCACAGAGAGAGGCCAAGTTCTCAGGGCTGTGTGTCTAGTCCTGGGCCCACGGACCCTGCAGTGAGCCAGCTCCGGCCTCAAGTCAGACAGCTCTTCCCTGTCTCTAGGCATTTGGGTGATTATAAACACCCCACAGTTGTCATATGCTCTGATGGAAGCATAAACCGGCTTCATCTCTCTGGATAGCAATTTGATTATCCAAATTCGAAACACACAAGGCAACGACAGATCCACTTTCTTCAGAATTACTGACAAAGGAACACAAAAATATATGTGCAAGGATGTTCACTGAAGCATTGTTTGAGGAAAACTGGAAAGGACCCAAATGTCCTGGTGAAATAAATTATGGAAATGCCATACAATGGACCACTCTGCAGCTGTGAAAACACAATGAGCGAGATCTGAATGTGCCTGGCACATAGTAGGCACTCAAGCATGGAGAGATGTCCAAGGGCAAAAAAAGCAAATTGTTCAACTGCAGTACGACTCCTCTCCCCTTTTTTTAAATAAGGGTGTCTGTTTTTGCATACATCCTTAAAAAGTCAAGGAGGACAAATGCCAAACTGTCAGGGCGGTTTGCTTGAAAGAGATGAAAAGGGAGAATTCTCCCCCAACCCCCAAACACCCCAACACAGTCATGAGGGCCTGAGGCTGCAATGAGCATCTAGATCACTGCAGTCAGCAGGAGGTCACATTTTAGGGTGATGAAAACATTCTGACACTGGATTATGGGGATGATCGCACAGCTGAAAAATCTACTAAAAGTCAGAGCACTGTATGCTTATAATGGGTGAATTGTTATGGTATGTAAATTACACCTCAATACACTTACTGAGAAAAAACAAACAAACTTGCTGTAGGCTTTGAAAGTATTTACAAGTATGTATCCAATGCAGTTGATGTTTTCTAATGAAACACTGATCTAGAAATAATTCCTTTTCAAAATATATAGGGATGCCTGCTCATTAGACAATTTGGAAAATCCAAACAGGTAGGAAAAAGAAATGTCCTTGCCATCCCAGCCCCCAGAGTGAATCGAGCTGGCGGCTGGCCCGGCTCAGCGGTCCCTTCGTCCCTTCCTGGAGCAGCGTGGCCCTGATCTCCCCACTTGATGATTTACAGAGGGCTTGGCCTCAGGCCCAGGGGTCTGACAACCAGCCCAGGGTCCCTGGCCCTCAGGTTAATGATCACAAAGGCCTTGCAGCTTTGCCTGCCACAGTCGAGTAGCTCTGGAGCCTGGGCCCTTGGCACTGGAGACCTGGTGAGTGGGCCCTGGCCTCTGCGCTCCGGGAGCCCACAGCCTGGAAACTCTCACTACGTGGTAGTGATGTGTGGAGTCTGTGATGGGGGCAACATGGTCTTATGCTGCCCGCTGCCTGGAAGAGGACGTATGAGTTTAGGAGGATGGGGGATTTGGGTGCAAAAGAAAGATACCTAGGTAGAAAGGAAGAGGCCCCACTGCTAGGCCTGGCTCTGCCGCTGACTTCCTGGGTGATTCGGGGCAAGTCACTGCCCCTCTCTGGGCCTCAGGGTCTCCATTGCAAAAGATGAGATAGGTCCCTCTGCTGTTTCCAGCTCCAGCATTCCCAGAAACAGGCTGTGCAGCCACATCCAGAACCTACATGTCTCTGAGCCTCAATGTTCCTATCTGTAAAATGGTACTGGACCAGGTCACCGGTACAGGTACGTCTGAATCTGACAGTCCAGCGCCTGTCCTATGAAAAGGGGCGTTGCCATTACCAGGCCACCTCTCCTCTGGGCCCAGACATCTCTGAGAGAAAAGAAGGAGGAAAGGAGAGGGAGGTCCAAGACTGAGTCTCCTCATAGCAACCAGGGGAAACAGGCAGTAAGATTCCCATTTTACAGATGGGAAAACAGACTCAGAAAGGTTCGGTCACTTGCTCAGGGCCACTCAGCTGGAAAGAGGCATTGCGGAGATTCAAACACAAGCATGGCTGGCTCTAGTCCCCAAGCTCTGTCTGGGGAGATGGAGCAGGGCCTCCTGGCACCATCCAGCCTGGGCAGGGAGCAACAGCGTCCTTTCCAGGTAAAGGGTTGCAGTTGCTAAATCAGCCAAGCCCAAACCAAGCCTGGCAGCCGGCAGTCTCTGGGGCAGCCGTCCCCACCACACCTCCCAGGCCAGGGCAGGAGGCTGTACCAGGAAAGCCCTCTAGCCCTCCGCACATCTGCGTGAGTATCCAGAACAAAGGTATGTCGTAGGGAGAGCCTCAGGCTGTGGCCACTGAGTGGAGGATGGGCTGTGACACCTACATTCTATGCCCCTCATGGGCCCTCAGGTCAGGCGTGGTTTCTTTGACGTCGGGGGCAGCCTGGCTCTGCCGCCACTCGCTATGTGAGCATGTCCTCAACCCTGTCCTTCTCTGGACCTCAGAGGTGCCTTTAGCCACTGGTCTTGGGTGTTCCTGGCTCCTGCCCAGTGCCACGCACACAGTAGGCAGCTTTTCAGTGTCTGCCACAGGAAGAAGCTGTACAGCCCACGATTCCCCCCCTGTAGTTGGACCCAGGACCACCGCGAGCTTCGGCCCTGCCTCCTCTGTGACCTTAGCCTAGTCTCCATGTCTCTCTGGGTGTCCCAGAGCAGCTACCAGAGCCTGGAGGCGGCGGCCTCACCCTCCGCCCCTGGCCACAGTGTACAAAAGGCCTTGGCCGGGGCTGGAAGACACCGCCCTGTTCTTTTCTCTTCACCCCAAATGTGGCTGTTTTTTATTTCCCGGCAGCTGGCCACTCACCGGAGGCCTCTCGGAGCTTGTTTGCTTTCTGGTTCACTGCTGTCCCCTGGGTCCTCCTGGGAACACCCGCCCCTCTGGCCCAGGATTTTGCTAATTGGGACAATGGTCAGTAAACAAAGAAGCAAGTCATAAAACTCAGTGAAACTGGACAGGGCCGCAGGGAGGTCTGGAGCGCCCCTGTGGACTCGGAAGAATGCGTGTTTTAGAATTTGGGAGACTCCGTTCCTTGAAGTGACACAGCTTCCTTATCTATAAAATGGGGAGAATTATACCTAGCTCACGAGGCAGTGAGAAGGCCCAAGGCCTGACACACAGTAAGACCTCCCCCAGAGTTAACACCCTTCTTGAACTATCTGGTTTCTTTGCAGAGGCTTTCATTCAGCATCTGCATACCACGTGAGAAGAGTGGAGCAGGAGAAAGGTTACAGACGCCACAGTGACATTCTTGAGTTCGGGTCTGGGCTGTGTCACCTGGAGCAAGTTACTGCCCCACCTGAGCCTTGGGTGAC